TGGATACAAGCCAAATAGATATGAGCTGAGTACATGTCATCGCTCATCTAAACATGCTCACAGATTGTTGAGATGAGTGTCCAGCATCGTCCGCCTGACTTTGCTGTTCAGCGTTTCCCCGCACATTTACACTACCGTGCATCGCCTTCACGATGTCGTCACCATGTCCGTGACGATAAGGAACCGCGAAAGCTTTGACAACACCAGATTGTGCAGGGCGCACGCATTCTTCAATATAATAAACACCAGCAGCTCCAGGAATGCTTGTCGCTCAGAATAGCTTATAATCCATACGGGACTCTAATAACTTCAAATCCTGCTCTCACTTTCAAAATCGCCAAAACCCTCGCAATACGGATCAGCAGTCATGGCCAACAGCCTCGAGAAGGTGAAAAACAAATGGAACGAGTACGCCGAGCGCTTTACGGAGACGGCGAACAAGCGCATGACGCTGCAGTGCTCGCAGCATCTGCACTCCCACATGCAGCTCGACAAAGCCCAGAACGTCCTCGAGGTCGCGGCTGGCGCTGGATTGGGCTCACTTGACATCGTCCAGTATCTCCTTGATGGCCGTTCAAAGCTTCCTAAAGACGGCAAGCGGACGTTCACAGTCACAGACTTGTCGCCCGTGATGGTCGATTTGGCTACAAAGAACTTCAGTGGTGTTGGCACGGAAAGCGTCGAGGTCGAGTGCAAAGAAGCAAACGGTACATTTGACTGGTTATTTAGAACGTTAATTTAGAACGCTAATTGCTTGTGCGTGTTCTAGGCCAAGACCTCACGGAAGTAGCCACTGGCTCCGTGGACCGCTACATTGCCAGTCTATGCCTACAGCTCGCTCCAAGCCCGGATGATCTGCTTCGGGAGGCGAGTCGCGTCTTGACTGCTGACGGTATTGCGGGCTTCACTATCTGGGGATCTCCGGATCGCAGCGGCATGTTTACTATTACCTCTGCAGCGAACAAGGAGATGGAGTTCGAGGAGAATGCGGGCGAGCACACCAACTTTGCCATGGGCAAAGACCTCCCTGCGCTGCGCAAGCGGTTCGCTGTGGCAGGGTTCAAGAACGTGCAGATCTGGCCGTACCAGTGCGTGGTGGAGCTTTGGAGCGGCGAAGACTTCGCTGTGCTCCACCAGGATATGTACCCTCTCGGGGACGACGAGCTGAAGGCCAAGAGATTCGCAATTGTTAAGCGCATGGCCGATGAATGGCTCTCCAAGGGCACCCCGATCGGTCTGGAGACCTACATCATCCTTGCCAGAAAGTAGCAACGAGAAGATTTAAGAATTTAGAATTCTAGTTCGAGGATTCTGGAATCTGAAACTTTACTTCAACACGGCGTGTTGGATAAACGCGATTTGCAAGCGAAGTGGTGGGAATCGCCTGTCGATTAACTTGATGTATTGGATGCATGCAAGGATCGCATGGAATGAGAACGGAGTGGTAGCTAATGCTCTTCCTGTGTCACGTTTGGCATGATTCGTGTGCAATTGAATCTAAAGAGTTTTGCCTAAGCGTTAAACTTGCCTATATCGTTCAAATAGACAACGTAGAGCGGTGCAAGCCCCTCCGATACATGTACACGAATCGATACGCCCCATTTGACAGTGCCCTGAACGGCGTGTCAATGTGATTCTGCATTTTTTTCACCGCAGCGAAAACACATTGTGCTAACGTGGATTGCATCAGTGGTGCTCGTTTCGAGATAAGAGGAGTAAACATCGCTCGAGGCGTTAAGCTTTCGTCTGAAAATTCACATGATTCGCATGATTTTCTCAACCAACGTTGAAGTGAACACCCAAGTCGCACCTTTATGGACTGTAATTTGGTGGTGCAGTACACCCTACAATCCTGAAGTTGAAGCTACAGTATTCAGCTTTGACTTATACCTGGCTCAACCTCTTCATCCCATGAGACTGCTCGTCCTCGCTCTCACTCGGACTCATTATCCAATTCAACGTACAAGTCCCAAGTGACCTCAGCCACACTCCTCCCCCCTTACTCCGTCATGCATTACGCTTCGACCGCCAAGATGATGGAGCGTTCCATCATGCAGCAACAATTGCGTCGCCAGACCGTGAGTCTGCTCAAGTACCAGCGTTCGCCGGTCAAAGTGAGCCCCGCGCCGATTCGACTGATGTCAACTATCGCTGGACACTCGGCCAAATCCGATGACAAGGAACCGAACGTCACGGATGAACCAGCGTATCTAGCTCATTTCAAGCAA